CCACCCCAGCAACCTCAGCTGCCGCAACAACCACAGCTGCCTCAACAACCACAACCACCCCAGCAACCTCAGCTGCCGCAACAACCACAGCTGCCTCAACGACCACAACCACCCCAGCAACCTCAGCTGCCTCAGCCACCCCAACAACCTCAGCTGCCCCAACAACCACAACCACCCCAGCAACCTCAGCTGCCGCAACAGCCTAATACGCCATCGACTGTCCAGCCCCCCAAAGTCTTTGTAGTCAAAGAGACCCCCTTTTACAACTCCGGTGGCACCGATGGCTACCTGTACAACTGGTTATACGAACTCTCCGATGGTCAGAAACGCCAGGAGTCCGGCCAACTCGTGAGCATCGGCCCCAATCCCGAAGATACCGTCCTTCGCGTCCGTGGATCCTACAGCTACATCAACCCCACCAACGGGCAGAACTACACAGTCACCTACGTCGCCGATCAAAAGGGTTTCCAGCCTCAGAGCGCCCACCTGCCCAGAGTTTGAATTTAAATGGAGGTCAATTGACTTTGGTGTACATAGTAGTTCTAATTGGTCATCATTTATTGCGTTTCACATAAATTCGTTTCACCAGTGACGCGTATTATCCTGTCTTTTTTTTTTTTTTTTTTTTTTCTTTCGACATTGTGAAATTTTTCAACACGTGCGTAAATATGGAAATTTCAATTCATCAAAGTGATTAAAAATGCGACGATAAGTCCGAGCGTTTGCGTAAAAAGCCAATTTCTAAGAATGTGATTTCACAAACGCTTTACCTCCACCCATCTGTACGTATATACTTTTTTTTAGAGTGTGCGATCGAATAATTCGTCGTTGATGTTGTTGTTGTTGTTTTTTTTTTTTTTTGCGACTTTTCGGGTTTCATGTATCCTGTGAATTAGTCGAGTGAACCACGCAATTGTAAAATACAGTTTCAGATAAATTTTACTGCACGAGTTGTAAAATAATAATAATAATAAGGAAAAAAAAGACTTTTTACTCTTTTTTTATTATTACTATTATTATTATTTCCTGAGAACATTTTTAAAATTTTTATACACCTCAATTTTAAAAAAAAAAGAACATCACTTAATCTTAAGAAGGACCTGTGAACCTCAATATTTTGACGATTGCCATCGATGTCGTAAAAAATTATTCTCGAATTAGAGAACCGGATAAAACGTCAAGACAAAAACATCAGCATTTGCATCGTTTTGCCTGTTCAAAAAATGTTTTCCGACCAACGTAACGTAATTGAACTGGCCGGGGGATCCCTGTTTCTGCCCACGATCCCATATCTGCGCCATTGGTAGCGGATCGTAGTCCAGTTGGCTCCGGCCAATGTTCTCCGCCACTTTGTTCTCGCCTCGATTAAGGGAATTCATTAACCGCTGCGCACTGTCTGTTATCAGCGCATAGTGGGCTACGAGGTCTTGGTCGCCTCGGGATAAGAAACCCGATCGCCATCTACGCGTTCAATCACGATGTTTAGTATTTTTCAATTTTTTTTTATAATTTAAACGACACGTGTCATTGTGCAGCATGTAATTCTTTTATATTATGTATCGATCAACTTTACATTTTAACTGTATATTTATATTTTTGGATTCGTTTTGAAAATAAAAAATGCTTCTTCATTAAAAAAAAAATACGGAAACTCGAGGCTGTTTGGTGATGATGTCTTTGAATTTCATTGAATTCCCGGAGGAACAATTAATAAAAGTATTGAAAAATAAATGAAAATTCTCTCAAAAGCACCATGTTTTCGTATCTCTTTAAATGCAAGAAACCATTTCTTTATTAAATAATAATTATTGAATTTTCAAGTTTTTAAAGCCACATCTGAAGCCTTCAAATTACATTCAAATGATAAAATCTGTTAGACGGTCTGGAAAAAGAAAACCGCTAACCATACATATGGTTGTGCAAAAATATTAAAAATCAGTATGTATCAGTCAACGGGCTGTTTTTTTTTCAAATGCTGTTGTATGTAACTTTTATCATTTAATGAAGAAAAACGAATAAACCAAGAATGTTTTTATCTAATCACCTTCCGTACGAGTAGGCTTCGACCGAATCGGAGCCTCCACCACCTCCTCCTCCATTCGAGGTGTGGCCTCTCGGATGCCCGGACCTTCCTTCGGGGTGGCATTGTCCATTTTGGGATGCATCCAATATGTACCCCGCATCCCTCGGTGATCTACCGGCATACCTGGCACCACCTAGCATCAAGTTGTCACTGGTATCGGCGTCCATATACTTCCCGATCGCATACCGATCTCGACGAAGTGCCTTTGCCGTGAAGTAACGCAGCTCAACGGGATTCCAACCAGTTTGCGAGCCGATCACCTCGTACAGACAATTGTTGCCTCCTGAACAAATGGTCGACGGGTTTTTACCTCCTTTGAGTACCCAGTGGCCGGTACCTTTGCTCTTTGTGTACTGTATTCGTATCTCCGTTGGCGATCTTTCGTTAAAAGTTCCAATCAAATAGTCGTCCTTGTACACTTGGATTTTTTGCTTTAGAATTTTAGCAATAACAGCCAAGTGTAATATTCCTGCCGGGTGGTTGTTGTATATGCTTTTTATGATTTTATCTTTAATTTTTTGTCTCCGAATGTTTTTCGATCGACGATTTTCTATCGTATCTAGAAATTTTTCTTTCCTTGGGTTGTGGACGAGAAATTTTGTTTGCATGATAATTGACTTGAACGAAAATTCGCAACTTTATTGTAATTTGGACATTTTCCGGAAGATATTGCCAAAGGGTGATGTTTACTTGAAATTTGGAATTTAGATGTCCACGAGTACACGTCGCGAAAATTTCGTAACTAACCTTAACCAACGACTGTCGTCACATTGTCACCGCTAAAAAAAAAAAATTTTGTTTTCTATTATCATCTGTCACTTGCATTCGTAAGAAAAACATTTGAATTTTTCGAAGGTTAAAAAAAAATAAATATAAACAAGGATGCTTTGTTAAAACATTTAATTTATTACGCAATGATAGAAATTCATGATTTACTTTTCATTTTTTTTTTTTTTTTTTTTTTTAACCAAAATTAAACTCTGAAGATAAACGTGCTTAATGATTATCGATTTTGAGCTGCAATGGAGTAAAAAAAATCGCAAAAATTTCATAGATTAACAAACAGTGAATTGATCCCAATTTAACAAAGATTGGTTCGAGTATTGATTATAATAACGCTTTTTCATTTGCTGAATTGGATTATCACATATTTGATACAAAGTTATAGTCTGACAAGAGTTGGTGTTGATAAAAAAACTACTTGATGAAAAATGTTAAATGAGTAAAGCTCCCCAAGTTGAGTTAAAATACTGATTAAATAGACCGGCAAAACCTTGCCAATACATTACCGTCTTGTGAGAGCATGACACACTGCGTGTAACCATTGTTAAAAAAAAAAAATAATAATAATAATAATAATAATACGGATTTACGAAAAATGAAATATATTTTTAACAGCGAGTAAGATTTTTGAGTTTTTACACAAATTTTCGATGTTTAACGAAATAAAAATTTGGAGCAAACGAATGCTTATCAGTTGATTGGATAAAATGTGATGATAAAGATGTCCCCGCAAAAGTCATTGGGCATGTTCCAAAAGTGCGCCCCGACCAGCCGCACCGATACAAAATCGCAAGGCAGCCCAACGGGTACACCGCATTTCCACGCCTGCATCCGCGGCAGCGGATGGTAATCTATCCAGTGCCTTCGAATGAACACGTCCATCGAGTTCATCCCGTAGTTCAATTTGTCCATCAGTTCCTCAGCGGGTTCCGTCTTGAGAGAGTAGTGGACCACGAGGTTTTGATCATCCCTCGACAGAAAACCGGTTTTCATTGTACTGCACAACGTACATATTTACGTAATGTTAACTAACTGCCCTTTCACGCTCGATGCAACGACACAGAGAAAAATGAAACGTTAATAACACTACCGAGACAATTTTATTAAATTTATATAATATTCATTTGCTGTGACCGGTATGATTTACATCGTCGGCATATAACGATATATCTTCCCGTCGATCCAACAGTACGATTACGATTGGATTGATTTGCCATGAATTTGCTCCATTTTTCTCAGTCGAACAGACTATAAAAAAAAAAAAAAAAAAAAAAAAGAAAACCGATCACTTCGTTATCAACGAATATTTCTGGACGCATGCGAAGTCGTCGCTGGCCTGCGGATACGAGGCGTGACCCCGTGGGTGTCCGGACTTGTAGTCCGGGTGGCTCCGCCCGCTCTGCGACACGTCCAACAGCCGGCCGGCATCCTTTGGCGACTTCCCGATGTACCTCGCACCGCCTCGCATCTCATCCGCGCCGCCGATCGCCCGCCGATCCCGGCGAATCGCACCCGCCACGAGGAACCGCAGCTCCGCGGCGTCCCAGCCCGTCTGGGCGGCCACTACTGCGTACAGGCAGTTGTTACCCAGGCAGGGCACGCTCCTCGGGTTCTTGCCCCCGCGAAGGCTCCAGTGGCCGATTTCGCGACCTTCCAAGGGACGGTGGTACTCGACGTCGATTTTCGCGCCACCGGCCGCTCGGCCGATCGTGCGGACCACGTGCCCGCCGCGCCAAACGTTTATGCGGCATCTCACGATTTTACCGAGGACGCGCAGGTGAAGCAGACCCGCCGGGCCGTCGCTGTAGATGCTCTCGACGAGGCGATTGGTTGTTTCGCTGTACTCGGTGCGATTCGCTCGCGGACGACTGCGGAAATCGGTAAAATTGCCACCGATGGGCATGTTTAGGTTACTTTGATCAGGTCCCCGTTTTGACTGTGCACTTTGCGGTACTTGTGAACACATGGTACTTTTTTTTATTTTTTTCACTCGGCAAAACTGTTGGTTACTTTGGGGATCTCATTTTTTTTTTTTTTTTTTCTTTTGCACCTATTTTAGGGTGACATTTAGTTCTTTCTTCCTCCCCACACAACGGTGTGTAAAAGCAGGTTAAATATCTTGCCAGCTTTTGTTTCCAGTGCACATACGTATAGCTACACATTCATTATGTGTACGAACAGCTCAAGGTGAAACTCGAAAAAAGTTTCATCCATACATGATTTTCACTCAACTAGGTGTATATACATTTGCACTGTAATGGCACAAGTAAGAGCGAGGGATAAGATAATCTTACTTAATTTTTTGCGTGTACATACGCTTGGATATTCATGTGCAAGTGTCGTTTGCCAGTACTTGTGGAGTAAGTATTTTCTAACTGCGTAGATCGGGTGTACGCGTATGTACGGAATTATAGTATCGATCGAGCGTGAAAACTGTGGAGTGTCGGGGAATGATATTATTGTCAAATTGACCAAGAGATCGATACGTAGGTACCTACGCTTGAGACGATGAACGTTGCCAGTTGGAAAAGGCCAATCACTCATGGAACACAGTGATACTATATTTTATTCTATGTAATTTTCACTTTAATTATTTACTATATATTTATGTCACCTGTAGGTTACAAGACAAAGTAAAGTTTCACTCGAAGTGGGGGGAAAGTTATACATATATTATACTTTTAAAGTCTTACTCTAAATTTATACTACTCAATTTTTTATTTTTTATTTGTGTTTTATATCAGATATAATTTGAAATGGTACAACTCACCGATAAAAGTGAAAAAACTCACAATGATGATGATGATGCGGTCCGCCAAGCAGTGCAAACTCACAGCAAAAATGTACGAGCTTTCATTATCTACATTTATGGAGGTAATGTGGTTGATTATTAGCTATTATTGATGATAAACGTCACTTAGTTATAAATTTTATATGTTTAGGTGATGAAAAGAGCATCGTCATGTTTCACCGTACTAAGATCCATAAGTCAAAATTAAAATACCTTTTCTTCATCATTTTTGTGTGCACTATATTATAATCATATGTATGTTTTTCACAATACTTGGATTTTATAGTAACGTAGCAGAAACATTTGGTCAGTAAATGCAAAATATTTTTCAAGACAGAAAGAACCGGAAAAATGAAATCTTGTAAATTGTATAAAATCTTATTAATAAAAAATTTACGTGTGCTATGTTTTATACCCATAATCGCTTATTCCTCACAATTAATATTGTTTATGTTGAAGTTTTTATACAATAGCTGAATAGTTAAATAATCGTATATCCTATTATTTAGCTGATTGTTATAAATACAATTATTTGAAAAAAAAATTTTAGCTTTTGAATTGCGATTTTCATTAGATTGTAATTGCAATTTTTACGTATCTATTATTCAAATATTGAAAAATGTAGTATTGCCAATAATAGTGTACAATAAAATGATGCGAAAACAACGTGGTTACCTAAATTATCAAAATGCATCTAGATACCAATGAAATGAGTTGCAATTTCAGTAGTATAAAAATTGCATTTTACATTTATGTTTCAAGCTTTTTATGTCTATATAAACACATACAATTAACTATTGAAATACTAACATCATTTGTTAAAAATCATAAAAAACTTTAGTCATTTAGAGTACTGTTAGTAAGAATTTTAAATTAATTTTTTTGAATTTACCGCTTTTTTAAAAAAGAAATGAGCGAAGAGAGGGTCAGGAGGGGGGGACTGAGAAAGTGAAGGAGGAATAATGGGGGGGTGTTTTATTATTTCACTAACCGGTATTTTGTATGCATATATACCTACATATATATATGCAGGTAAACAGTAAATTTAAGGTTATGGAGCAGTATCAGTCGGCGTATTTTTGATATTGTTTGTTGATGCATTTAAGTAAAATCACACGGTAATTCGCAATTGTACACATGTTTGTGCAAACATTGATTTATTGTGATCCAAGCCAGTGTGAAGAAGTTGTTTAAGTCGCGGTAGCTGCCAATCTTTGATTCTATTAGAGACCAGTTTGTTACAGCCACAAAAGTTTACAACTACAAGATATAAGCCCAAAACATATCACTCTTATTTGCCTTCAGACAAATTTAACCATCAGCCATGACGAACATGCTATACGGTGGTGATGAAATTGGTGCTCTGGTCTTCGACCTTGGACACCACTCGTTGCGAGTGGGCTACGCTCAAGAGGATACACCCAAGTCAGAGATCCCGTCTGTCGTTGGTATAGCCGAAGATGCCGACGGTACTGCTGCCAAGATTGAGCCCATGGACGTGGATGATAAGAAGCCAGACAACAACATCACCCAGAGCACTCCCAAGTACTATGTTGATACTACAATTTTGCATGTACCACGCAAGAACATGGAGGTGTCTAACTTTATGAAGGATGGCATGATCGAAGACTGGGATCATTTTGAGAAGGTAAATTTTGCCTTTGATCGTTTGTACTGGCTTTATTACTGATGCTGTTGTTTTGCAGGTTTTAGATTATACTTATGCAAAAATCATTCAGTCTGATGCTGAATTCCATCCAGTATTGTTCTCCGAGTCTCCGTGGAATATTAGGAGCAAGAGGGAAAAACTGACAGAGCTGATGTTTGAAAAGTACAACGTACCAGCATACTTTCTTGTGAAAAATGCTGTACTTGCAGCTTTTGCCAATGGACGTGCCACTGGAATTGTCGTTGACAGTGGGGCAACGCACACTTCTGCCATACCTGTTCAAGATGGTTTTGTTTTGACACAAGCTATTGTGAAATCACCTCTTGGTGGAGATTACATTTCCATGCAATGTCGACAGTTTTTACAAGTGATTATTAGTATTAATAGCAAAAACAGATAATTATTTCATCATTATAGTGCAATATCTGAAAATCACTCATATAATATATTCTTATTTAATAGGACAATGATATTGATCTATCTCCTGCATACATGATTGGAAGCAAAGAAGTTGTCAAGGATCATGAAAAGCCCAGATGGGTGAAGAAAAAAAATTTGCCAGAAGTGACAAAATCATGGCACAACTATATGGTGAAAAAACTCGTTCAGGATTTTCAAGCAACGACCCTTCAGATTTCAGAAACACCCTATGATGAGAAAGTAGTTTCAACGATACCAGCAGTTCCGTATGAATTTCCTACTGGCTATCGACAAGATTTTGGCACCGAAAGATTCCGCATACCCGAAGCGTTGTTTGATCCCAGCATGGTTCAGATGCGCGGAGGAGGTGTAGGCAACACAATGTTGGGCGTGGGTCATATTGTGACAACGAGTGTTGGAATGTGCGATGTTGATGTGCGGCCGGCTCTTTACGGTAGTGTCGTTGTCACAGGAGGAAATTCTTTTATTCAGGTATTCATCTAGTTTTTAAATTATTTCGTTCTTTCGGTAATATAATGGTAATCATTATTTTCCAGGGATTTCCTGAACGTCTGAACAGAGATTTGTCCATGAGGATACCAACCAGTTTAAGATTGAAACTTATAAGCGCTAATGGTAGCACTGAGCGTAGATTTGGTGCCTGGATTGGTGGATCTATATTGGCATCTATTGGAACTTTCCAGCAGATGTGGATATCAAATCAAGAGTACGAAGAAAGTGGAAAGAGCCAAGTGGATCGAAAGTGTCCGTGAATTTGTATAATTTTACATGCTGAGGATTGAATTTTTTGATGTAATGGAAGTATGATGTGAGACATTTTTTAATGTTTACGACTGACATGAAATTGTATTTTTAAGTAATTATTATACGAAAACAGTGGAATTTTCATTTTGAAAGTTCAAATAAACAAAGATTTTATAGTAGCTTAATTTACATGTGTTTTATTACTTTATTGAGTGTTTTGTCGCTTATCGTATGGTATCAAAAGTTTTAGTATAAAAAAATAGATAGCTATAAAATACGTAGTATAATACTGGGACAAAGCTTACTTTACATAAAAGGCCCCCAACCAATGTACATTTGGCACAAATTGTCGACATTGATAGCATCAAGAATCAAATGATTAACTTGACCTTCTACACTCAAATATAGATTCACGGACTGTCTTTTTCCTCGACTCACCACCATACCTTTCAATCGCTCTTCTATACTTTTGATGTGTTCTACAGCCTGTAACAATACGATTCACGTTAGTAGTAAATAAAAGATAAACGTATTGTTTTGTAAATTTTTACAATTACCTTTTCGTTTGTTTTTTCACCTGCTTCACTAACTTGATTTCTGTTCCACGAAACCAGAGGATCATATACAAAAGGTTTCAGCACACTGATAAGTGTACTAGATTGCTCTCTTAGAACTTTCATTGTCGTTCGGCAAGATTGCCTAAAAGGACCTTCATATTTTAATGGTCCCATGGCTTCAACCATATTGTGAGTTAAGCGAAATGGCACTCGTTCAGGCCACTCCAAATTTTCACCCTAAGAATACGATTTAAAATAAGTTTCAAATATATATTAAATAACTGAAATGTTTTATTGCATATTTTTTATTAACGATTACCCTGTTAAACAGGCAATTGAAATCCACGTGAACACAATCACCAACTTTTGAGTCGATGAGTATGTTTTCACCGTGACGATCTCCCAAGCCCAATATGTAGCCAACCATTGACATGACAGCTGCGGTACGGATGTAAGCCGTGCGAGCTTCATACCTGTAGTATTTCCAAAAGTATAATTAACACCGGACTAAATGTAAGATAACATATAGATTGGCTTACCATCCATATGGATCGGGAAACGCATAGTGAAACCAATCACCAAGAACTGGTGGATGACGTGGTATGAGTTTCTCTAAAAATATCTGTCTCTTTTTTTCCAAGGAATCCCTTAGAGCTAAATTATGATTTGAATTACGATTTATAATTATATTAAAAAATTTAAACAATTCATCTCAACATAAATAATTTTCTTACAGCATGACATGGATTTCAATTCTTTGGCAGAAGTCATGATATTTCTTTCTTTGTATATTCCCAAAAGAATATTTCTAAATCCAACTAAATTCGGCACCCATTCTATCAAACCACACTCTTCATTTAATGGCACTACACTCTACAAATACATAGTAAAATTATTTTAAAGTTTATAAATCAAATTATGTAATAAGTAGACAAAAGTATTTACGTATGTGCGAATATACAGCCGTCTTCGTCGAGATTCTGGATCCTTTTGAAGATACTTATTGACGATATCGTTAAACTCCATTAATCGAAAATCTCTTCGCAAATCGTCCTTTGGTTTGCACATAAACAAATACAATTTTCCATCAGAGCCTCGTAACGTTATTCTTCGTGGACGCTGAAGTGACGGCATTACAGTTACCTCACTTTCGATGCCAGCTATTTGTACCCAATTCCTAAAAATTTACGTCATTAATTAATGTGACTTTGTTGTTGAAATGCAGTTTATAATAATACAACTAATGTTTTACAGCGTAAAAGGATTGTGGTCTTCCATTGTGACACCTTTCATGGGCAGGTGAAGCTGTCTAAACTTGGACGTTGGTATCATTACTGGCCCAAAGTCGGGATCTGCTAGTAATTTAGGCAAAGACTTTGAAAGCAAAGCAACAGAAGTAGTTTGGATTGACTGTTAAAATTAAAAAAAAAAAAAAACACAGTTAATAAATTTGTTACAACAGAATCGTGTAGGTATAAATTAATTTAGCTCTACCTCAGGTATGTGTTTGTTGGATAATTCAATGAGTTTTTCCCAAAACTTATTGAAGCATTGTATTAGTTTCATCATTTCTAGAGTCTTAAGTTCTTTGCAGTTAAGTATTTCCTTGCAACATTTTTGACGAGCTGTATATGCCGACTAAGCGAAACAAAAGTTCAACTTTTATTTGTAAAAATTGTCGGGACTAAAAAATAAACAATTGAAAGCATTACTCACGTTAAATACTGAAGCCATCATCCATAAGCAGTGCTGTGGGTATTGTTCGATCAATTTAACAATGACCGTGAAAATGGTATTTTGAACTTCTCGATTCGGGTGACAAATTCGAGATACCAATTGACTGAATGCCGATAACCATATAAATCTTGGAATTCTTTCTATATAAACGTCTAAAAAGTGAATTTTTCATGTTTTAAAATATCGTTAACTCACAACAGAAGTAAAAATGAAAACCATCAGCCAAGTTTCAACAAACAACTTACCTACGATTTTTGTCATCTGAGTTAACGTTTTCGCGATCGCGTTGTCAGAGCTTATGTGTAAGCTTCTGGTTCGTGATGCATAGTTCAACCAAATAGTCAACATTCTGGGCAGCGACTGATGGATATATTTACAACCACATAGCAGTGATTTTCCATAGTAGTTGATTATATGCGTTTGAATGTCTCTACATTATTTAACGTAAAAAAAAAAAAAAATGTATAGCAGTAGTTTGGGCAACTTAAGTTTAACTGCTTTAACTCACCGACCACCCGACGAAAATCGCTCATCTTCTGTCATTCTATCCAACACACACTCATAATAACGAGCAATGGCCAAGCAACTCTTCTCCCATCCTCTCCAGACTTCATGAGCTTCTTTGTAATTCGTCATGTTGCCATTAGCATCGACATTCAAGGTTTCATCGTTGTACTTTGCCCATAGTAATTTTGCCTGCAAATTTTATAATTTGTTTAAAAAACATTATAACATGCTTGCATTAAAATGAAATTTTACACACCTTTGCACATTGCTTTCTTTCTGTAGTAAAAGCGTGAAGAGGTTGTTTTTTGTATTCCGCTACAGGTTTGAAAAAGGTCGTCAAGCAGCGTTTTAACGTAATCAAGGCATCCTCCTGAGAACCTTTTTGCCAATACAACTGAGCCTGCTCAGTACAAAGATTTTGAGGTGGACAAAAGTCAGTGGCTGATAAAATGTACATGTATGCTTGTTGATACATTCCAGCCCTGACAATTAAAGAACATACAATGCCTTACAAGTACAATTTTAGTTTTTAACATTAAAATAATAAAATAACTACGTCATACTTTCTGGCAATTTTGGCACTCTTAAGCCACAATTTTCCAATTTCTCCAGTAATGACAGTTTTATTACCGTCAGTATTTGACTGTAGCTGTACTGCCAAATCCAAAATGGCCCGGCGCATACCTAAAATGAATTCCGCTCCTCTCGAGGCGTTTATCAATTTATCACGCTTTTCCCATTCCTCGACTATTTTAGGTAAATTGTGCAAATCATCGAGCATTCTACAGCATGCTTTTTCAAACTCGTTGACTATGTGGAGTCTGGAGAAAAAAAAAAGAATTTTCATGTATCTCGTGTGGATGGAAAAAAATAAATTGAGAAAAAAAAAAAGATTTACTTCATAATATAAGAATAACTTTGTTCATAAGCTCCAGGTCGAGATGATGTCGTTAGTAGAGATACCAAGCGTTTTTTTATGGCAAAAAAATCTGGCTTCACATGATTTTTCAAATTCTCGAGCAGATTTATTTTAATATCGTTTCTCGAGTGGCTTTCGATTTTTCCAAAGTGCGCCAACTGCCAAAACGGTTCGGTATCGCAAATGAGACTTTCAAGTTCGGGCCTGTGAAATTAAAAATAGGATTAAAACTGGATCGGTGTACTTTTTACATCGATTATTCACCTATTTCTCAATACACCATCTTTAATATTCATAGCCGTGTATGGCTGATCTAGTCCAAGGTAGCATTGAATCATTCCCTGTATGTACTGCGGTTTGGAAGATGCACTTTGCAACAATTTTTCGTAGCAAGTGGCCGCATCCTGTTAACAAAAAAACCAAGAAGTTGTCAGTTAAAATAAGAATCAAACGTAATAATCGTATTTCATTTGACCAACTTGTAACTGGCGGTTGACTTCGTGGGCTAAAATCAATTGTTGGAGAGTCGGGCACTGATCTTGGCTGACTAAAATGCCAGAAACCCCATCAGGTTCATCGAGTCGCGTGTAAATTTTCTGCAAAAAATTTTCACTTTGATCAAACATCCAAATAAGTCAGATTTTAGTTTGTCATAAAAGAGTTTTTATTATTACCGTCAGCAATCCTCCTTCCTCCTCTTCGGACAATCCTTTTTTACTAGATGACATGTGCTGCTCGAGATATATAAGCGCTCTGTGATACTCATGAGACTGATAACATCCTTGAGCCAACAGAAGCTTCGGAAAACCATCGACAAACTCTGAAATCAGAAAATAACAAGCTCTGTAAATAACTTAGTCCAATGCTCAAAAAACTTGATGGATTTTTATAAATGTTACTTTGAATTTTTTCGTATTTAGTGTCTTGCGTTTTTCGTTTTTCTCTCAACCATCTTTGCAAGTAATCTAAGGTGGAAAATATCACCTGAAACACAAATGCACAAGTGTTTCCATGATTAATTCATCAACGCTTGATAAATAACAGTTAATTCCTTTACGAGAAATTTACTTGTAAGCAGCGAACGCGTCTAGCTTCATCCGAAACAGTCGTGTTGCTGGACACTTTTTCAACTTGGATGCGCAAAGGTCTGTTGCGCAAAAGCTCCTGGTCAACTTGAGTTTTTTCATTCGTTGCAACGACCGCTAACATTTCTGTGCTCAATTTTCTCACTTCTTGAAATGATCCGTACAAAACAACGTGGGCTGCGAAAATTAAATGAAAATTTTAAGAAAAAAAAAAAAAACGATTTAAACCATCGAATTCATCGAGTCATTGTAACATACCAACGATGTACGGAATGCAAAACGATATGATTTTAATGCTTCGCTTGAATGCCGGCCGGCAGGCGTTTAAAACGCTTTTGATCGTATTATCTTTCAAAATTTTCAACATACTGAGTATCCAATTGAAGGCCCACAGTTCAAAGGTAGATCCCGACTCTGATCTGTTACATTCGAATAATCGTGATAATATTTGTCGAATGTTAAGATCAACAAACATAATTATTATTCAACTTACCCATAAATAGGTGTTTGAAATTCGACCTCGTTGTTGGATGTGTTTGTGTAGTGAGACTTTAGTAGTGGGAAAATCATATGCTGAATTTTTGAGGGCAAGTCATTCCATAATCTACTGTTTTTGCCTTCTGGTGATATTTCATACAGTCTTAGTATTTCCTTAAATATGTTGACAGTAATACATTTATTCGTTTTTTCTTTTACATATCATAACAATAATACTTCAAAGTGCACTTACTTGTATAGCCAAATTGAAACAATCCATACTCTGTGTGTTCTTTTGCAATTGATAATCTTTTACTAACTCGTGCAGTAAATTGTAGGCAAATTCCTGATTGATATCGGGTATAAATTTTATGTCCTCTACAAAAATAAAAGAGTATTCCATAATTTAAATTTTAATAACATTCAAATGTATATTTTTACCTCGAGATATAATTCGTCTCGGTAAAAGACTTGGCTCAATTGCACCCAATTCGCCAATGCAGTCTCCACTGGCTACGCAAATGGCTTCATCTTTATCTTGACATCCGTTCATTAATACGTCCAACAGCTAAAAGTTACTCTTTAAAACATCTCAAATAATCGATGTAATTGATGTTACATAAAGTGAAAACTTACTTCTACAATTAGTGGATGAACATTGATGTCAGATAATATCAAATCGTTTATTTCGTTACGATGTCTTGCAAGATATTGTTGCAAATATAGCAGTGCTTTCAATCTAACTTCATCTGTTTCATGCGTTAAACGTTTCAGCCATATCTGCAAATTTTCTTCTACAGTTTCTGGTCTGAAAATATATGAGCAATTTTTTTTGAAAATAAATTTAGATCGTTATAAAATCGGATGAGTCACACATACTCAGTCAGCTGGATGCGATTTACAATCTTATTGGATATGTTTGATGTTTTTAAATCACTTATAAAAAATAGATCAGAAAAATGCTCCTTCACAAGATCTCTATTTTTTATAAATAGATACTCCAACATTGAGTTTGTTTCCTTTGGATAAGTCTCAAGGAGCGGCACCAAGGACATACAGATGGTGGCTAACAGAGGCCCTAATTCTCTAATAGACGTACTGTAAAGTGGTAAGGAAACTTTTTCTTGTTATTCCATATCCGATTTACGTATTATATAACGTGATAACTATACATACTTTCTTAAAAAGGCATTCCAAGCATCGCAGGCTAATCTTCTGAATCCTGGCCTCGTGAAACTGAGCGATGTTCTCAGTGTGGCCAAGATTTTATACCTGTACTGAGTAATGTAGTTTGGCCCCATAAAACGTATTACCTCGGCTAAAGACGCAAGAGCATACTTTTGCATTATTTCTTCGGAGTTGGAGCAGAGATTGGCATCAAACGTTACAAGTATCCCGTGCAACATTGAATTTAAATACTGAGCCTTTGTATCAAAATAAAATTTTATGAATTACGTGTACCACAAATATTCGTTGGATCGTAAAATAACGCCTTACGATTTCGTTTTGAGATCGAAAGCTGGCACTTTCTTGGTCATATTTCGAAAGAAACTGCAAATGCCGGAGAACTTTCTCTTTTTGGGAGTGAAAATGCAACATCAACTCGCTAATAATGAGCTGAGGAATGAGAAAAAATTTAACAAACTTTTCGTGGCGCGAATTTCATAAAGTTGTAAAATGAAAACAAGTACCGTGAAAGAGTTGGCCGTCAGATCAGGTATAGTAGTGTGTGTTATTTTAGAAACAAGCTTGAAAATCTCAATGCCATCTTCGATACTTTCAAATAAAAATACTCGACAGCAAATGAACTACGGAACAAAAAACAATCATAACGTTTGAAAAAAAAAAAAAATTTGTAAAAATAGCATCAAAGTAGTCTAAAAATACAAATGCACCTGAAAATATGACTTGAACATTTCACTCTCTTCTGCATTGATCAGCTCGGCAATATCATGAAAAAGTGTGATTGCCTTTTGGCATTTGGCTACCTGAGGCAGTAAAAAACATACAGCGTGTGGTCCATCTTTTCGCAGCAACTGTCGAGATCCTTGAAAACCCATACACTTGGCTACTCTGTGTATTGACGTGGACATATTGTAGTCATAATTCAATCTATTATATACCGCCAGAGTCATCATCAACTGAAAGATGTTTGTTTAAATTTGTTTCACGAGTCATATTAATGGATGCGTTTACAGAAAAAAATATATTTCAATACTTTTAAAAAGTCTCTCTTGTAGCGAATGTAGATGGTCTTTAACGAAACTTTTTGATATATGGCAACTTCTCTGTAAGCATCGGTTGCCAGTGCAACTGCCAACGGCGACGATTTTGCATTCAATATCGTTAAAATAAATATATTGAGACACCTTCGTTCAGTCAAGTGTAACGACTCTATGCTGTGATAAAATTAGTGAAAATGTATTTAATTTGCAACGAAGTTATAACGACTGATTATTTGAATTCATACCAGGCAGCATTTTTGGCTGTTAACAGCAAAGTCTGGTGTAAAGATTGATTAGAAGAATCTAACGCTTTGCTTAGTACCCTAACAAGAACATCCATTATCTTTTTTATGAATTCCTCCAAATTTTCTGGTATATCATCTTGAAATGATTTCTTGGGTAGTGAAATGTTAATTCGATTGCTTAAAATAATCCCAATAACTTCACTGAAGTTTCTCCGAATTTCTTCGTTTTCATCGCTAATGTATGGTATCCATTTTTCGGCTACTGAATCGCTATTGAAACTTTTGACGTGATTTGAAAATCTAATCATGTTTTTAGATACATTTAATCGAGTTTTTGTGGAATCAGAAGTTAAAATATCAAAAAACGGGTTGAAATAAATTTCAAACTTTTCAGACACAACTTTGGGATCGTCTTTGTCGTTAATCTGAGAATTTTCACAATATTTACACTTCACAATCCATTTTTCAAAATCTACTGGATCCCTGTAAAATTTACATCAACTGAAGTCTTTTCAAATACATAATGTTTAATTGTTGAGGTATTAATTAACAAATCATGTTCCAACAAAATTAATAGAATCATTTGTGTAATTGTTGCAAAGCTTATGGGGTAAAAATTTAAAATGTACCTAACGAGTGATCCACTTCCTGAAACTATGCAGGCAAACTGTCCAATAACATTAGCAAGTACTTCTTCAAGAACGGGCTTTTGACTATTGTAGGCAGGTATAAGAATTTTTTCAACAATATCATCAAACTTTATGTCTTTGTCCATCAATAGCATAGGGCAGTTACTTCATGTAAAAACAATCATTTTTTTTAAATTTTCGAAGTGCAATTAAAATACATATAAATTCAAATACATACACAACAGAAGCTACTCCCAATTCAATTTCATAACTTGTTATACACATATTGAGTATGTCTAAACGCTGACGTCCTTTGCCATACCTGATAATAGCTGTGAGACATTTTGCTTTCGTTGCAAAGTCTAAAGATTTTCCGTTAGCTAAATGAGTCTTGGCAATTCTAGACGTCAATACATTTGAATCAAGCCATGGTAGTGATAATACACTTTGAATTTCTGTTTTATTAACTTCTCTCAAAGAAATAAGTTGTGTGAAATTCTCAAAAACTAGTTTGTTATGTTCAAAGTTTTTAGCAGATAAGGCTTTTAAATATATAGTTTGAACATCAGCAATGTCAGAATCAATTAGTTTTAACAGAATATTATTCTGTATAAACCAGAGATCTAAACAATTAGCTAATCTTAAGAACTTGAGGGACTCGTGGTATTTTTCATGTTGCAAGTTTTTAAGAAACCAGTCTTTCAAGGAAGACCATAATTTACTGATTTGCGTTATATCAATAGAAGCCACATTTGATGCATTGTTTTCAATTTCATAAATTACAAGGCTTACAAGAACTTTCATAAATTGCTGAAATAAATAAAAATTTGATATGGATATTTTTTTTTGTAGCTTCGTTTGTTATATTACCTGACTTTTTTCGTAATAAGCCACTAATTTCGCAACATCAAATTCCTTATAGAATCTTGGATATTTAGTCAAACGATCCTCAATTTTCTTATGTGTTTCCAAATCAAGTTTATTAGAATCTTCGTGAAATTTAAAATTAAATTAATGTTTCTAATATCACTAGCATAAAGACAATATATTACTGACCATTAGCATAATTGACCAATATAACGAATATTTCAAAATAAAAATCAATGTGTGCAGGATCGTCAACTAGAGACACTAGTTGCTCAAAAGTTTTTTTATGCTGTTGAAACTCGTGGACACGAATAAGGCCTCTTTCATTCCAATTTGGCAAAGCTTTTGCAATTTCAGTTGCGTAAAGTATCATACTCTGTACATCCTAGATTTTTTAACATTAACAGAATCGTCGTGATGAAAACTTTTGAAGTATGAAAGAACAATTTATACCGAGTGACTTACGTTATTATCTAGTAAGCAATAGTGGAAGAGTTTAACATAAATTTGTAATGCAGCAATTTTTACTTTAGGCTCTGCCTGGACTAAAATTTCTAAAAGTTGATTAATTAATCTTTTTTTGGGCCACACAGATACATCAGATTCTGCTATAATCTAAAGCATTTTTAAATAATTAATAATATGTACACTAAATAAATGCTTAATATTTACACTGAATCATACCTTTAAAATGGATATTTGAAACAATGATATATTTCGAAAATTTAATTTAATTGGAAATGGTATTAGATTTAAGTATTCAATGGCACTGGGATCGGCTTTAAATTTATCAAGTATCGTATCTTCACTTATTTTATTTTCACAGCTAAGACGATTCAATTCTGCAAATTTAAATACAATGCACGTGACAACTAGTTTTTACAAAAAAGTAAGCAGTATATTTTTTTACCATTAAGAATATTCAAGTACTCTGCCGTTATTTTTGTGAGCATTTCCAAATTAAGTCTAGACAAAATTTGCACCATGCAAACTTGAATGTCTATGATTTTTTTATGAGATTCCAAACTAACTGGTATGTTAATCAAGTAAAACATTGTCCCAAACAACCACGTTGTAAATGCTGTAAAATGTGTGATGATAAAGCCATTAAAATCTATTGAAAGTTAATATTATTGTAAAATATTTTTTCATTAAAATCTCACCTTCATATTTGCGCTGTACATCTTTAGATGGTGGCCCATTCGTGATCTGAGGTACCAAAATATTTAAATTATTAAATCTGCACAACAAAGATTCAAGCAACTGACAAAGGCTCTCTTCGGTGCAAGGAGTCAACGTTTTGTCATTCAACGTTGAAAATAACGTAATTATAGTATTGTTCATAAACGTCCACAATTGACGCTCGTGGATCAAACTAAAATCAATGCCATATTATTTAATTAAACATTTACATCACTGTTTGCAAAAGCACTTTAATGGTACGGTACCTGCTGTCACTGCTAGAGTCGGAACTTGGTTCAGGACTTTCATCTACTTCCATTTTGATGTTTTTCTCCCAATGTACAGTATTAAAACTCAATTTCTCCTAATCCGTAACTACCGTTTTCTTCATCAGTTCACAACTAAATACTCTTTTGTCAAACCAAATGATTACATTAATATTTCTCCGAGTCGCAAAATAATCAATAGAATTTAAAATATTTACTGTTATTTGTAACTCTACAAAAACCAAGGGTGTTTATACACATTGTTGATAAACATAACAGTAATGTCACATTATGTCGTGCTGATTATCAGGTGGAAACTGTCGTTAATTAATCATACATCGTTCCATAATCTTATCAAACTAAAGCGCAAATAAAAATAATAACACTTCACCAAAATAACACCGGCCTTGTGGTTAAGCATTTATTAGTGTTTCCGATTTATATTTTATTGTTTACCGCGTGTGTTGCAGTCGCGTTTGGCTAGGTATCGAAAATGGATTAAGGCTGCCTTACTTTCACCAAGGTTTCGCCAAACACTATGTATTTGTCAAAAACAAAGATAAAAAAACTGATGGCTCAGTACAAATCACTACAGTTCTGAATAAATAAATAAAGTGATTTAAGAATATCTACGTTACACATAGGTATCAGTTATCAGTATCACTGATAGCTATTCTACAATTTGAAAAAAGCGCGCCAATGTCAAAAGTGTCTGCTCACTGCGCGCGCACGGTCTCGTGTCCACGTGCATGTGTGAGTGTTCAAAACTTTTGAGAGCGCGCGCGATTGTCATAATAAGCAGAAAAAGTTTGAAGTTGGTTAGAAAACGCTTTCTGAAAAATTAAAATACATATTAAAGAAATATGATATGAAAATGTTTATTGAATTGACATGAAAATGGGTACCAAATAGTTTTTCCTAGATTTTTGCGCAAGTTTTTGATTCATCAACGAGAGAGGACGAAGTATCCGAGGTGTGCTTAGTGTTTGTTGTTAGCTGTGAAAGAAAGTTTTATTTTACTTTCAACTGTATAGAAATACTTTTTTCTTTTTTTGAAAAATTACGATTATAGTGACCGATTGTTTTTTTCAGAAAATGCCTAAGGGAACTTTCAACTGCAGTGGTAAAGTGAACATAAATGACTGGCAACTAAATAATTCCAGCTTACTTCTTCAAAGAGAAGTTGACAATGTTTTGAATGGCAGAAGATCTCACTTAAATTTGAATTTTAATGTCTTTGACTGCGAACAGTCGGGAATCAGTATTTTATTGAATCTGAAACATTTTATACGGTGCATGGAGTAAGTAATACTTATCCATTGGCTCAAATTACTTTTTTTCTTATAGTAAGATGATTAGAAACTTGTGTAATCAGCTAGGTACAAACAAATATTTCTTTGACTTTTTAGAGCCAAAATGAAGCAGCTTGGTAGACACGAAAAACTTGCAACGTTTGGCAACAAAGTTGTTTCGAGCAGAGAAACAGACTTTTTTTCCATGAGAGAAAAGATTTGCGAATTCCTTTTTTATCTGAGGGATTATTTACTAAGGCAAGTATGGAATAACATTTTTACAACTAAGCCAGTATTATATCCTAGTTTCGTGTATTAATTTATTTTAATTGAAAATCATGTAGAATAAAGGAAGAAAATTGCACGTTAAAAGATGTAAACGAAGAGTCTGAAAAGCTTTTTGAAGATCTGTTGAATACAATCCACAGATATGGCAACCGATTGCGATATATTCCCGATTCTACGTTTCTATATGCTACTTCAAATATTGGCAACAAAGTACTAACCGAGAATATTATTTTTTCATTACAATTTCAATTTTCATGCAAATAAATCTTTATATTTTAGAACAATCAACCGGAGTACCACATGTTTCATCTACATTTAGATTTAAGATGGTTAGTGATTAGTCTAGTTTATACAAATTATCATTCTGGAAATAACTCATGCAGTAATTTTGAAAATTTAGAAAATTGTATTTATACTACAATAGGGGACCTAATTTACATTGCACTCAAAATATTTGCAACAGTAAGTACATTTTATGAATGTTGATTACTATTACCGAGTCGAACAAAAGGTTTAATTTTTTTGTTGCAGATCCCTATTGAAGATTTAAGACTGAAAACACCGTATAGCTGCACATGCATTAGAGAACTATGGCTTATGCTACAGATATTCACAGACGATATCTTTGCAAAGAGTAAAAGTAAGGTAATAAGAATCAACTTATTAGTATCAAAAAATTTTTATACAATTTCATTGTCATTATTGCAGATATTTTGGACATATGTAAACTCTATTTTAAATCAATCGTTTCCGAATGAAACAAACAAAAATATGCCAATGTTTGAAAAAAAAATTGACTTACCTCATTGCAAAAGTCCAGAATTGTTTTGCCTCTGGTTTATTTATCATCTAACGCTTTTGTATGGATACAGTGAGAATGGCAATCACTACAATAGTCCTTCCAGTAGAGTGAGAATTTTTACTATTGTATCACTAACTCATTGATTACTATTAACGTTCATAAATATCATTAGTTTGCAGAACTGCAGGAAAACGATAGTATCAGTGAGGTAGAAAAAATATTAAAGGCATATATAAATAAAGGAGGAAAGAATGGAGCCAGAGACGAGATAGACGAGGAGTTGTGTATCATGATTCCCATGCTGCACACTTTGACATGTGAATGGTGGAAACCTCGCACTCAAATAATCACGTTATTGTGGGATTGTTTTCACAAACGACTGGATCAGCCATTTCTGATGCAAACTCGAGGACCCTGGTGTACATCCTCTGAAAAGTAATGACATTAAAACTATTTAACTTCAAAATATCCATACATTCGTATAATCTTTAATTATTTTTGTTATTTTACAGAAAAACGCCAATGGACATAATAATCCAAGTGAGAAATAGGCTAAAAAATAATTTTGAATTAGCCAACGAATCAAGTTTTGGATTGTTTTTACGACTATTGGGTAAACTAAAGACACTAGGAGATAACAAAACATTTTTACTAGCGCACAATTATTCATTATATCCTTTATAGGTATGTTTCTATTAAAGTACTACCGAAATGACACGAAAATCTTGAATCAAATAAGTGGACGACTTTATTCGAAATTCTCGCCAAAAAAAATTCAGGAATTTTCTGAAAGTGGACTCTTTAATTTCGTTTCTTTATTTCTCAATTTAGCCGTTACTTCGGATATGGTGAATGTGGTAAGTTGTTTTGAGCTTTCAGGTGTTATAAAATTTATTTTTAATCATCTTTATTGTTCAGTGTTCCAGGATGTTGAATTTATTGCCATCATTGTTGGAATTTGACGAATCAACGGGTGATAAAAAAGTTCGTTGTCTAATATGGAAAAGCAAACTTTCAGTTTTATTGCTGTTTAATGAGAAAAAATTGTCATTCAAAGACATAGCCGAAAGCTTCACCGAAACGGTAAATTTTTTTTTGTCTTCAATCGATCACATTGGTCTAAAATATAATACAATTATTAATCTGTCAATTACAAGGTAAATGCAGTAAGTTGCCGAACAGACGAATCGTCCCGTTCGATGATGACGTGGTTCATAGATGTATTGAGAATCATTTTGACCCAGAGCGAAGATTTTTCCCGTAGTGAGCACGTTTTTCTTGATGGCTGGATAGATCGCTACCTTGCGGAAAGCGCACCCAACAGAGTTGGAGTTTTGACCAGTACACTTTTGATGGTTTTTGATAAATGCAAAAGCTTCCAAAATACAATGGGTACTGAAAACAATTTCATCAGCAAGCACATATTCTTAATGGGCTTATTGATTAATTTCAGGTTGCATACTGATGCTCGATTCGTTGTGGAAGCACGTCGCCATTAGAATTCGCTTAATGGTTGCTACTTGTGATTTGAGCAACGAATTTTACAAAAATCCTACAAAACTGGCTGCAGCTTTTACGTTGGATGCGTGCCGTGATCCAGCTACTGCTAAAAAGTATTGTCACTCAGCCATCTCACTGTTTCAACATTTCACTGCCTCTCCCATAATAAAGGACTTGAGGTGTGCTAACATATCAATTTTAATTAACTGATTTGACATGAATGCTTATTGAATGATTGATTATAGGATTACGAGATTATACCTGACTCTGGTCTTAGAGAATGAAAACGCTGTGTTGAGTCTTAAAAGAGACATCAGCAATTTTAACATATGTTGTATACAGGTGAATTTTCTAAGTTTTTTTTTTTTTGTATTTGATGGTGAATTTTTCAAGAAATAATGTATGTTTTGTTTAGGCTTGGGTAAAATGCAGTATGTTAAACAATGAAAACAACGATGTCAGTGATTTTTTGAATAAGTACATTGTTAGTTTACCAGAAATCAGAGAAATTTTAAGTTCAGATGACGTGAACAATGTATTGAGAAGTAATGAGCCAATTATTAATTTCTTGCTCATCATTGCTAGGAAAAGAAACACTTTGACGGTATATCATTTTTTTTTGAATTGTGAAACTATGACGTGTTAAATCTGTACTGAATTCAAAACATTTTTTTTATAGATCGAACATCAACGTGTTGCATTCGATTCTTTATGTAAATCATTTTTCCATAATGTTGACAAGTGGTCTATGTTGCTTAATGACGTGATAATGAACGAAGAGAATAAAGACTCAAAACTGTCTGTTTTTATATATCGCTGTATTGGGACACTGATCCTTTGTTGCTCTCCTATTTTATACGTTAAGGTTCGATATTACAATATCATTAATTTTCGGAATTTAAGTAAGAAAAAAACGAATTTCTTTAATTTTTTTAGAACCAGCCAAATAATACGTTACGATTGTTGATCAATAGAGTTGCATTGTCTCAAGAACAAGTAGCTCAGCAACATACTTTGAGAATATTTTCCATGATTATTTTAGGCATCGAAAATTTAACTATCAAATCAGATATTTCGCTGCAGCAATTAATCAGAGACCTATTTGAAAGATACCTTCCACTGTTGATATTGATAGACAAGAGCAACGGTAGCTTCAAAGTGACGGACACCCTTTCCAAGTGTTTCCTTGATGCTCAGCCTGATTTTGTGCATTTCATGTTAGTCACTTTGACTCGTAATTTTATCATCATACCCGGTGGTAACTCAACACACAAACATTGTCACTTGGTAAGTAAAAAAAAAAATATATATATATATATCCAAGCATATGAAGTAAGTGAACAAAATTTATTTTTTTTAAATGAACGTTTATTTTGCAGGTGATGTTACTGTTGAGAAATTTAGTTAGAGCCAGTAAACTTTACAGAATCAACATTCTAGAATCAATCATCACGGTTTGCATCTCATCCATACTTAATTGTTACATGCGAGTTCACGATCACCATCCACACAGACAGCAAACGCTCGATCTTTTGCGCGACGTCGCTGTTAACACGTATTATAAGGAAAGTTTTAAAATTAGGTACACCGTCGCATACACAATAAATGTATATATAAAAAAAAATAAATAAAAAGTTTATGTTGCATGGTAAGTTCATTTGTCTTTTCTATTTCAGAGAAAAGATGAATGACACCGTCTGGAGTAATCTAGTCAAATATGTCCAGACAAATTCAAAAATAAGTTTTGACTTTTTAAGTTGCATTCAAAAAATCAATCCTGAGTTATTCAGGTATTTGTTTCCTCGATTCGAGCAGGTAGTCTCGGAATGCGAACGAAATAAACTACCGAACGCTGCAGCACTCAGGTAAGTCGTATTCATTTAATTAGGCTTAATAGTTTCTTTACACAGACATAATTAAAATACATTTTGTTCTCCACAGATACGCATTCAGTAGCTTGAAAAGAAGCACAGAATGAGATAAAAGTTTTTGTTTATGTAAATACTGTCAACTTTAAAATAAATTACATTTTGAAAAAAAAAGCTAATAACTTAAAAATTTAATTTTATCATTGTAAAAATTTTATACAATATGTACTAAAAGCCGTCAACTGCGTGACTTATTGACTTGATTTTCTGTGCCGAGGCCGATGGTGTTTCGCCGTAGAAGTCGTCGCTGTTACCGTCGTCGTCGCAGAAGCGACGCTTGGAAGCAAAGGTCATTTGATGAAGTCGAGGCGCGATACCGCGCTACGGAGACTGCTGCGCAGTGTTGGCTCCATGTTACCGTTCACCAGGCAATCGAGTTTCTCCACATAAGCATCGATATTTTGTAGAGTAGCACCTTGGTATGCACCTAGAGAAACGAAATATAACGTTCATGGTTACGTAGGAAACAAATTTTTTTTTTTTTTTTTTTTTTTTTAAGAACCTGCAAGAGGTGTGTTTGAAAGACTCGTTGTAAGTTGAGACCGCAAATTATCTAAGTATCGTTGCAGTGCTTGATTAGCCGTTTCTTGATTACTTGTATCAGTCTCTAATCGAGTCACGGCTTGACGTAGACTTTCCACATGGCGCTGCAAAACAGCATTCTGAGATTCATAATCTGTTGTAGATTTGCGCAACTGCCTCAATTCCGCTTCGCATGCTGTTTAGAAAGGATTTTAACAAAAACTTTTATAAAGATGTATGAATTAATTGAAAAGGGGGAACGTTACAAACCTTTGTTGTGTTCCAAAAATTCTTCGGTGAAAATTGGAATTTCAACAGTACCATTCTCGTCAGTTTTTCCTTTTTTAGGGTCCTGCAATATGTTCAATTGTTTTATGCTGTAGTGTTTTCACAGAATATTAGAAAATGACTGATTTAAACTTGTATACATACATTAATTTTCGATAAAGGAGTAGGAACAGAAACAGAAATTGTAGTAGCAGCAGTGCTAGCTGGAGTGTCAGTTCCATTTTTCTCTTTTTTCAAGTCATTTTTTTCTTCAGCAGATTGTTGTTTTTCTAAAAACAATCTATAAGCATCTGTTTGCTTATAATCATTCATTTCTCTGTTATAACGCTCTTTATCCTGTTCTGCTGCATCCAAGTACTGTTTTTTCTCATTTGATGGAAGAACATTCCATTCAGCAGCCAAAAACTTGGTTATTTCGGAAAACGGCATTGTTGGATGCTCAGTTCGAACTTTTTCTCTACGATCATTTAAAAATCTAAAAGAAAATTTTAATATAAATTTTTAAAATCAATCATTGCAAGACATTTTTAGACACGTCAAAACAATGTCACATCAATTGACATTTTCTATTAATATTTAAAATAATTTTAAAAATAACTGTAGCATTAAAATATCAGTAAGGTTGTTGAATTATCATTTTTTACCTGAAGTAGCCAGTGAGAGGTTGTTTCGGTGCTTTTGCATCTTTAGGACATTTTTTTCTTTTCTTAGCTTTCCCTACCGCATTTGTGCCTGATGCTTTTTTAGGTGTACTATTTTCTTTTACTGGTTCCTTTTCTTTGGGAGCATCAGTTTCTTCTCTCATTTCTGTCTCTTTGTTACCTATCAAAATGTCACATTTATTAAAATTTTCAATTTTCTTATGAAAAAACTGATGAATGAACAACACTTACACTTCTTGTTAGAAAGATCTGTTCCATTCATATTGGAATGTGACGTCTGACTACTATTGTCAGCAATACGCATATCCATGTTGGATATTATTTTTTTAGTCTCAGTTAATGAAACACACAACTATACTTATAAAAATAATTAATAAAGTAATGATTCCTAGTAATGCTGCAGCACAAGTCTTTTCATATGAAATCAAAAGGTCAAAAACTTTAAGTATCACATGAATGAGGCCTATTATGTACGAATATATCCATAAATATGCAAAATAAAGAATTTTATTGTGCAAAAAGTAAAAAACTATTCGAGTAAAAAAATTTTTTTCCAGCTGGTACGCGAAGTTTTGTAGGTTAAGATCAAAAACTTTTTTCCTTGTTGCAGTCAGCATATACATATATATACACACACAACATATGTATGCTGAAGTTTTTACAATGCATCGCCCTGCATCGGCATTCGGCAACAGCAAATACAAAAATCCGATCTATTTAATTGTTTCTAATTAAAGTATACGTTTGCACATTAATTGCATGAGTCGTTCTAAACTGTAACTGAGTAAAAAAAAAAAAAAACAGTTAAAAATGTAACTGTATTCATGTATTTTTTTTAACTGTAATCACGTGTTTTCTAGCTAATATTTAATTGTAAGTAGCTGTTTTTTAGCTGAAAATTTAAGCTGTAAGTAAATCCATGTGCGTGTGCCTAATCAAACATTTTTTTTATTTACGTATACTTTACTTGAATTTTCCAGTAGCCATATTAGGTGTTACTATGAGGGTGGCAACACAATAAAAGAGGGGGACTAAACTAATTTATTGAAATTTTCAGTAATGGCAGAGTATTTTATTTCATCAACTTAAAAAGCTTCAAGTAGCTTAGTCCCCTACTTTTGTTGTTGCTATCAACGCTATCTATATAATAAGTAACAACATAAATAATGTGTGGCCACCAAATTCATGTGCTTTAACGTGTACGCAAATAACATTTTTTACAGGGTAAACGCACATAAATTTACAGCTGCAATTTTCAACTAAAAAAACACATAAATATAGTTAAGTTTTTCGCTGTTTTTTTTTTTTGTTACATCAACAGCTGAAAATTGTTGCTTTTGAACTCTAAACTCCAATAAGCTCAAGCGCTCGTCGAACGTGAGAACATGCCCGTCTTCTCAGACAATAGTCATGAAAATTTTTTTTGCATTTGTTACAAACGGCATTTCGTGTGTTTAAGACAAGTAATAAAAAAACACCCGCACGCGTAGATGTGGCGCAGTCTTAATCGTTAAATCGTTTGCATATCGTAATTTTTGGTAACAAAAACATGATAACGATCACGAGGTCGCCGATGTAGGAACTCTTATATTATACCTACCTATTGTAGTCATTAAAACACAACAAAAACGTTTGTGAAAAGGGTTAGTGTTTTGGTTTAGTTTAGTACCTATACCTATACCTAACATATTACGAAAACAAAAACGAGAGGCTTCCAGAGATTTCCGCGAAAAGTCAAGTCAAAAGTAGCAAACGTTGCCTGACGACTCGACAAAATTCTATAAATACAGGCGGCACATTTTAACCGGCGAACAGTCGTTGCTAAGCCAGCGCAGCGTAAAGTCGCAAACTTAACCAATAAGTTGAGTAGTGAACGCTAAGCCCCTTTTTTCCTTTGAGGAAGCGACTTCATATTCATTCGTGTTTCTCAACGTCGGTTTACGAAAAGGTAAATTATTTAAGTTACCTATGTACAGTACGTAAACAACTTCGTAAGAATTGCATAAATTTTTTTTTTATTTTCTCCAATTGACAGAAACCATGTCTCTCGTACCACTGTTGTTCTCGAACTGGTGGCAAAACCTGGAGAGCCCGCACCAACTCCTAGACCAGGATTTTGGCTTGGGTTTAGCATCTAACCAGCTCGTCCGTCCCAACATGTTGGAGCAGTACTATCTGTTGCCCCACGAAGAAAGACGCTGCCCTGTTTCGAGGTACTACCGTCCGTGGGCCGAGCTTATGCGACAGGCAGAAGGAGGCGGTATTTCTACCGTTAGTGCTGATAAGGTATTTTTTCGTTTCTCAATTACTAAGAGAACCCATGATTCCCTAAATTAATCTTGATTATGCTTACGAGACGAACTATGTGATGCATGATTTTAAGTGTTTTTAAAAGATTAAAACTTAAATGGAAAAAATATATATTTTACAGGGTGGTTTCAAGGCTCAAGTAGATATAAAGCACTTTGATCCGAGTGAAGTCTCTGTGAAGGTTGTTGACAATTTCATTGTTGTCGAAGGTAAGAGTCACTATTCTATCGTAAAATTTCAGTTATCTGTAAGCCATTATTTTAACTTGCACTCTTAACTACAAATACTAATAGCAATCGATTATTTTAAATTATTAGTTAAAAGCAGTGTAATACCCTATTATTTTATACGAAGTACCCTAGTATTCAGTTGGCACTGGTATGAGTTTCATTCATTTTGTTTGTCTGTGTAACTGTTTAAAAGCTTTAAATGTTCGTGCTAAAAAAGAAAAGTCCAAGTAATATTAAATGGGGTTGATAAAATTAATGAAAACCAAATTTTCTAAGCCAAGTCCATAAAAGTCAATTCGTTTTTGTATTGCAGGAAAGCATGAAGAAAAGAAAGATCAACATGGTTTGATTTCTCGGCAGTTCGTTAGGAAGTACATGGTTCCAGAACAGTGCGATATCAATGGGGTCGCTTCCAGTCTCTCATCAGATGGAGTACTTACCATAAGTGCTCCTCGCAAAGAACAACCAAAATCAACCAATGAAAAAGTCATTCCAATTGAAAAAACTGGAAAACCAGCCATCCAGGAATCTGGTAAGAAAAGCGAAGAAAAATGTGAAAAGAAAGAGTGATGACTTAATATTATGTGAAATCTTGAGATTATAAATTTCTGTATTATCTTGAAAATTATAAAACAAAATTTTTATTATACATGAAAGTTTGATTTTCATAACGAAATCAATAAAATGTTCGTTGAACGATACAAAAATGCTCTAATAGATGATTAAACATTCCTTATTTCCTTGATTGCAATTTGGTTAAAAATGCCATCTATCAATGTAATAATTTATTTGATGACTTTATAAGAATTTACAAACGGAATTGGTTGTCAAAGCCTTTGGCAGAATATCTGTGCCAAGATTTAATTAAGAATAAATAGATTTTATACGTTGTGAGTCATTTAATGCGATTGTAATGATTACATGAAACAGTAAAGTATAAATAATAATTAAAATTTCTTGAAACAATATGTTGCAGGGGGGGGATAATTAGTAAAACTGTCGATAAGCTGGAGAGAATATCGAAATACTCGATCTTATATGAATTATTACATTAATTTGTTTTTATTAAATTAAAAGTGTACAATATATACACATACCTCTTTGAGGTAAGAATACTAAAATATGTAAAAAAAAACTGTACCTAATTAAGAAACAAGTATAAATTTGTCACTGATAAAATTAAATTCTAGTAAAGTAGTAGTTTCATCGTTCATCACTTTTGTCAAATACATTCATGGTGGAACGGACAATTACATTTTACTCACTTGAAAAAAAATTTTTATTTAAATTTTTTAAAACTAAAAAAATATTTTTTTTGCTTCACAACTATACTTAGCGCTGCCTAGCGGAGATTTTTTAGAAAGTAAGAAATAATTAACTGATGGGTCTCTGGGAAAGTACTTTTTAGACAAAAAATTAATTTTTTTTCACAAACAAATATGCTCATTGCTGATCAGAGCTTTACAATTTTCAAGAAAAACAATCAACTGTTACGTGGAAATATTATGAATATAAAACAAATGTAGCTTAGTTACTTGATTAATTTTTATTTCATTTATCGTTAGTAAGAAGTAACAAATTATTCAACAATAATAAGTACCATTAAATGGATTGTGACTAGTAAAAATAATCCTTATTGTAGTCCTAAAAACTATCATTAAATTGTATTAACTCAGTCCAATTAAGTATGAATACTCGTAATCTTGTGATGTTTCCACAAATTCTAGTATATCGTCGATGTCATTAAGGTATGAATATTTTCGAAATAATTTATCATCCATCTCCTTATTCAATAAAAATCGTGTTACATCATATTCACCACGTAAGAAATGACATGGTCTGTAAATCGTATCCGAATTCATTTATAGCTTGAAGATCTGCTTTTTATACTCCAAAAGAATCTTGACTACCTCAACACTTTTTGCACGGTGTATGTATACTGGTCACCACGTGAAATGTAATTAATCTTTTGACTGCAGGTACTTATTATTAATGACTGCCATACGTAGTTGATGATTTATATCCGTAACATCAATTGTTCTTCTCTGAACTACGTCTATTCTTTCTGGAGAAACCAACTCTGTTGCGTTGTTTGATGACATATCTTATGGTATTTTATCCCAATCCTGAAAACATTAAAACTGATAAGATAAGTTTCCGTGCGAGTGAGTACTAAATTTATAAAACCTGAATTCATTATTTTTAAATGTTCCCGGGTTATACTCTCTCAGGAACATGGCACTTGGCGGACATCTTTTTCTCTCACGGTGTCCGCTGAACTCCGTTTTAAAAACACAAGTGTTTGGATGAGCAAGTCAATGTAGTGAAAAAAGCTCTGGTTGAATGTCAAAAATTTAAAAATTAAAGATTGATTGTAAAAAAACTAATAGTCAAGATGATGGTGAGCCCGAATTCGGCAAAAATAAAAAATGTCAACGCTGCCAGGAAAATTAAGAACGGCTCGCCAAAGATACGCGAGACGCTTCGGCAGGTTAGTTTTTTTGTACTTCTTTTTGTTTTTTTTTGTTTTTTGTTTTTTTAATACTTGTTAAAAATATTATTCTTGTTGATGGTGAAACGTAGTAATCTTGTAATGTGAATCACAAGTAGTTGTATTTTTTTTTCTGCTGTTTTATACATTTAGAAGTTTCGACAACGAATGCACGAAAGGCGCGAGCAAATATTTGTCATGAGGAGGCATGGAATGACTGACTACTCTCAAGAAGTAAAAAATGCCCTGACAGACATTGTTCACGAAGAATTTGACAACATAGCAGCCATGGAGTGGTTTAATTCTCCTGAAGAGCAGCGCCAACAGCAGTTGATGGACCTTGGTGTTTCTAGGATTGACGAGACCTTTAATGAGGATGAAACTGCAGAGATCGAAGAGTCCACAGAAGGTAGTATTGACAATTGAATGATACATTCTCTTCTGATACGTTGATTGTGGGCATAACATTTGAATATGATTATGTTTCCCCAAAGAGCAATGGATTCTCGAAGAATACCAACGAATATTGTGGGAACAAAAGCAAATTTCTTCTCTCTTCAATGAGGACGTGATGTGCCCAATATGCCTGAAAGGCTTGCTTCATGAATCCCCAAATTGTGTTACTTGCCGTCAGTGTGGCCTGAACTTGCCAATGCAATTTGGATTGGAAAGCTTGAAACAAAATATTCAGGAACATGTTAACACTCATTCCGCTGCATGTTTGGATGTACCAAAGTTTTCAGTTTTCCGTGACGGTGACAATGTTTCGTTATGTTTCTCGTGTGCTTCGTGCGATATTTTTGAACTGGTATAAAATTAAGTAATAAGTTTCGCGAATCTACGTTAAATCTTTTTGTATATTTATTTCTGCATCAAATGTTTCAAACATTGTTTAAATTATTTATGTATTAAATCGACAAGGAGCAAATGGCTGTGTCATTTAGAAAAACAAAATTAAACACTGATATTTTTTATAATCTGTGTACATACTGTAACCCGAGAATGTATGTTCAGTATTATTATATTTATCACTAAGAAAACTTTATTTTGAAGCTTCTTTAGTATGATTTCTTTGCTATAAGACTTGATGATTGTTTATTTACTTCAATTTTTTCTCTAAAATGGTTTATGTTATGCCAAAAATCTTGCAGAGACTTTGAATGCTTTTGTACATAATTAATTATAAATTTATTTCACAATAAATAATTTTTGATATAATCTTGTTTACATGCTGGTGGAAGTACTGTAATATCACCTATACAAATATTTGTCTATTCCTATCTTAAATTGATAAAAACAACAATGGGATTCACTCAGAATTCGTTTGAAAGTACTAAGAATATTACAGCAAAAAATACAATGACACGAAGCTTTCAACGATGTAATCTCACCTTTCATGTCAAGAACTCAAAAACCCGAATCTCCTACTCCAAATAACATGAGATGATACGTACTTGGAACTCTGTAATAGTAATACCTATGTTGTTCCATTCAGATGAAGAAATCCGCTTTTATTATCAGTGACGTTCAGGTAAATCACATTGCACATACTTTAAAATCAATCACCTACGTTTAACTGTTAAAATCGTGTAGCCCATAAGTGTTGCAAGTTTGTTTGGAATTACCTATAAAATGATAATATTTTCGAAACGACGACATTGTTCAGGAGTAGTTAGTGAATAAATAATACAAAATATAGAGTTGTATTGGATGCAAAGCTACGATGTTGAGAGATTTGAATTTCGAAAGGTGATTGTATACACATCATACTTTGTGTAGAGTCAGACGTGATGAAATGTTGAACGATAAGTGTCTGCATTTACCGTGTGCACGGCTGAAATTAGGGTGATCTGTAATGCAATAAGCAGCACGTGTGCGTAACAATACACGTCGTTGGCACCGCTTAGTTAGCCGTTTCGATCGGCAACAATTTGTATTGCAATTACACAAATATAATGATATATTTAAATCATTACGATTGTTTTTGCTACTTTTTTTTTAGCCGAAATGGTACATTACGTCACTAGGGCGCAAAATACAAACTTGTACTTATGTGCCCGAGTCGCGTGCATACTACTATTTTTCTGACAAAGGGCGAAAAGTAAAATTTTGTACCCTAAAAATTCGAGGAAGCTTCGATTAGATAATTTTCATACCGTTTTATTCTTTTAAACCTAAGAATGTCTCGTATATTTTACCGATTAATTTTATGGCCAGTTCAGTATCGAGAGAAATTAATAACAATTAAATTTCAAATACAAGTAGTGGCTCTTGTCATTTCGCAAAGATAAACGTATTTTTATTTAAATGGAATTTTGTGTTTTCATGGCCCCTGTTTGATTTACATAAACAAAAATTTCACCAATCGCTAGGTCACTTGAAAAATCGGTTCATAATTTCTTGCCAACCAGAATTAGGATAAACGAGGAGTGTGGTGGCGCTGTAAATGTAATTACGAAAAAAAAAAAAAAAAAAAAAAAAAACATATTTTCAGAGATAACAACGCATNGGCCCCTGTTTGATTTACATAAACAAAAATTTCACCAATCGCTAGGTCACTTGAAAAATCGGTTCATAATTTCTTGCCAACCAGAATTAGGATAAACGAGGAGTGTGGTGGCGCTGTAAATGTAATTACGAAAAAAAAAAAAAAAAAAAAAAAAAAAAAAAAAAAAAAAAAAAAACATATTTTCAGAGATAACAACGCATTTTTTCTCAAACATAAAAAAAAACTCTCGTCCTCCTTGGCGGGGGGAGGGGGATTGGCAACGACACAATATAATACATATTTGTATATACACGAGTACACACACAATTGCATGATGATTTAAACCTGCAACAATAATCTGCACATATATAATAATAATATATATATACTTACTCAATAGACTCACTAACACACACACTAGAAACTCGACCTTGCACAGCTCTATCCTTGCGACTATTTTCAATCTGCTGAGGCGAGAGTTTTCTAACTTTTCCACGACACGACGCGTCGCGTCGCCCGTTTTTTGCACACACACACACACACACGCACACACAAACGATCGTGTACTTATACTACTTATATAAACATAAACCTACGTGTTTTGCGTAATTGCGTTTTAAACTAAAATATATGTCTCTCACACTCCAACTCTATAATATTATATCCTTCTCTCTCCTTATAATGCGCGCATACACGCGCGACGTACTAGTTGCCAATAACATTTTTCATCATACATGTGACGCGCTTTACGTAAATGAATACATTATTATTATTATTATTATTATTATTATTATATATAACTGCTTTTTTACACTCGGTCAACTTGATTTTTTTTATCTCGCTTCCTGTTACACCTAACAAATTGTAAGTAAGTGTTACAGGTCAGTGTTGTAAGTTGTGCAAATTTGTTTGGTGTAACTGATTGTGTACGCACACACACACACGCGCGCGCTCGCGATATAGTCTGATTTATTTTTTACAAGCCACGTATAAAGTAATTTTTTATGTCGAAAAAAAAAAAAAAACGAATCTATATACACATAATAGGTACATTATGTCGTTGTGTAGATCTCGCAAGAGTAGATGACTGCGTTGTTAATTAAGTTCGATTATTTTGCGCATAATATTGCAGCTTCGCAGTCGTATTGAGAAAACAATTCGTTCTATGGATCCGACAATCGTTACCTGTGTCGAGTACAGCGTGCACTTTCCGTTCAAAGCCATATTGTGAAGTAAATCAGTAGTATAGAGTAGCTTTGATCAGACGTGGCAGTATATAGTACAACGTGGGTAAAAAAAAAAAAAAAAAAAAAAAACGCGTTTGCAAGTGCCACGTGTGCCATTGAAGGATATTCGAATGATCTCTCGATCGGCGTATAGCTTGAGATAAACAAAAACGACGAAAAACGAAGATCGGCAAGTTTCGCGTGACTTATAATACATAGAGTCTGCGGTCGCGAAACAAGTGGCGTATCGCTCGGCGAGGCTTGATCGAGCGCTTCCCCGTTTTTCGCGTTGTTTTATAAACATCACCCTCGAGTCGAGCCGCTCTGCGTGAGCCAGTGACGAAAAGCCGGTCCATTGTGTCTATTTTATAATAATGGAAGTTTTCGTGAGAATTTTTATTCCATGGACCCGATAAAAATCCAAAATATTGACATTTATTGGGGGGTTACTCGAGTCCTCCTTTTTTCAGGAACCTTGAGAGGGGCGACGATTTTTTTTACTAAAAACACCAATTTCGCGTGAAAAATAAATAAAAATATGTATACGTGGAGGTTGAGGTCTAAAGGCGAGGCTCCGTGTGACTTGCAATCCAGCCTCGGCAATTAATTTCAAAAACCATATGAAAACTCTTTAAAATCGTGCATATTACGTTATATACGTAACGGCTGATTTTTCGAGGAAGCAGCTCAAACGCATGCACGTCTATTCAACAATTCGACGCGAAAATGTGTATATTAATAGAGAGATCGCGGAGGTATAGTATCGTCTCGCTCGCCGGCGAAGGCTGAGACGTAAGGTATTTTTTTCACGAGCACGTGCATACCGATTCGAGGCGCAAACGCACCGACATGCAGCTGCGTTTCTCGATGAGCCGCGGCGAAGAAAAAAAAAAAAAAAAAAAAAAAAACCAAGCGTGGCGACGCGGCTCGAGGCTTCGTTTGACGTAGTTTACTTGATTTTTGTAATTTTCCGGGAGTTTTGGTCTTTTCGCTGTTGCGGTGCACGAGAGAGGGGCGTGTTATTGCTTGTTAAGTTGGGCGAGTGGCAAATTTTAACGGCTTTAATTTATGATGGAAAGAGCGTCATATGACGGCGGTGCGCACAGAGGCCGTGTGTTTGGGTTGGCCGGTAACACTGTTGTTGGATTTCGTGTATTAAACTGACGAATGAGTGGGATGGTTTTTTTTTATCTCGACTGGTTTCTTTTTTTTTTTTTTTTTTTGTTTTCAACATTTATATTTGCCGACACAATTATTGAAAAATTTTCTTTTTTCGTAAAATTTTGTTTATAACTGTACTTATGAAACGAAATTCAGCAAAATGTTTTTACCGAAAAAAACGCATTTAGAGAACAATTTTTATTTCAAAGTATTTGAGCGAATTTGAAAATTTAATGCATAAAAATTTTTGTTAAGCACATTATTATGAGTAGAAATAAAAAAAAAAAAAAAAATAGTGTTTGTAGGAAAAGTTGTAAGGGAAAATATTTGAAAAATAATCCATACCCGAATTTTACCTTGATTTGATGAAGTTGAGGTAAGAGTTGATGGATTATTGCATAAAAATAATTTTTGCTACATTTACGCACATTCTGGATTTGAATGTGTTTTTAATAGAGATAACTATATTGTACCACGTGTTTTTAATACTTGGCAAAAAATAAACAATGTCACCCCTATATGTATAGAATAGATATACGTAAGATGTTTCACAAACACGAACTCGACAACGTCAATAAATATTAGGCGAGAGAAGAAGGTCCGCTAATGCGTTCACACTTGCACGACGAGACTCAAGAGTCAGTAAAAGCTCGAGTTCGTCTGAAAAAAAAAGCCCACGCTCATTTTTCGTCACAAAAAATTGACGTGCACACCCTCGTTTGAGTACGGCAAGAGCGCGGATTTTCGTATAGATCACGCGTTGACACGCCGAGTGAAGAAGCGCTGGCTATTTTTAATGCGAGAGAGGGAAAAAATGTATGGCTGTTATTTCATCAGTTGTGTATTAATACAAGCCACGATCTATCGAGCGAAAAGCTTTTTTTTTTTACTCCTTTCATCCTCTGTTTGTTTGTTTGGTTTTTTTTTTTTTTTTTTTTTTACACCTTGCTCGCATCAGTCCTCCGTTGATTCCAACAACGTTTTCTCGCGACAGCGTTTTTCGAGGTGCAAAAATTTTTCCTCCGAGCTCGCGGTTTAATTTAAATCGTGTGTCCAGTGATAAATTAATTTTCAAGTGAACGATTGATTTCGGTAATACTTTTGTCATCAATATTAGGAAACTTTATTTTTTTTGTTTTCAACAATATTTATTTCTAATTATGTGCCCATGCACGTAATTACATGCGTATTCATCAAGTTTTTTTTTTTTAACTCTTGTTTTATTTTTTTTTTATCTATGGCACTGAATAACAATGATTTTGCTGGCTGGCAAATCTGGAGTATAATATGATACATTCCAAGTATTGGTGCCAAATTTATTCACAATAATCAGACCAAAAGGTGTATTGCAC